GCACTTATGCACATTGTAAATATAATTTTCATGGCAGCAATGGCCAATAATAATAAAACTGTTCACTTCCTAGTATTTGTCTGCTCCCCTGCATGCGTCACGTCGGTGTGTGTGCGGGCATGTGTGTAAAGAACTGTTTAAACATTTGCTCTGCACGGGAAAGCTGTTGTAAAGTGAGAGAGTATGGGGTTCGCTGGATGTCATAAATAGATCAAGCCAGTGAGGATAAAGAGGGATGAGTTTAAATATGGGTTAACTAATTAACTTTAAGCTGTATGCATGGAAAGAACCAGTGGTGTCAAACTCAGGTATGGACATGCTAAAAACTGGAGCTATTCTCCTCCCTAGGGTGCCACCCCCTGGTGTCTTTTGGAAGTAGTCAGAAAGCCCCGCTGTTAATGTGATCCCTGCGCAGCCTGGTTAAGTGGAGAGCAGGGTGTAGAGGAGAGTGGGCCGGCTCTGGGATCAGGGCTCCTAGCCCCAGGGTGGATCCTCTCCACAGGGACCAGTGTGCCAAGGGGGCAGGGTCTGTTTTCCTCCTGTCCGGGTCTGAGTGCTGACGCTGCTGTGACCCTGCCATTCACATCATAGCTGCAGTCCCAGGGTGCCATGGGAACAGGTGGCTCCACCTTAAGCAGCAGCCTTTTTGCTAGTGCATCCTTTGGCAAAAGCCTTAGGTTAGGAAGAGAATTGCTCCGTATAAAGTTATAACCCTGAAACCAGATGCTGTTACTATAGAGACAAGTGAAATGCTACCGTGGGAGGCAGAACAGGGGAGGGATTTGAGAAGGGAGATGGGAGGGCAAGTGAGGCAAACCTAAGGCCAGCACACCCAGACCTTCAACCTTTAGCAGCCCTGTGACAGGGCAGGCTCGCATTCTGAAACTTGTGTGCTGGCGGCCTGCCACTTGCTGACTGGCTGAGTGGCAGCTGCATGCGCAGTGTGGACTAGCTGGTGAGCACGTTGGCAGTTGGCGAGGGCTCTGGGGGAGGGAACTCAGAGGGGTGGAATGTACGTGGGTGCCCAAGGCCCAATGGCTGACAGTTTTGCACAAATGTTTCTCGTGCCGGGCTTAAGTCACCCTTACAAGCCTGCTCAGTGATTAGGACTGGCTGGGGAAAGCCAGTCCGTTTGGCAGCAGATTTGACATGTGTTAGAGTTAAGTCATTTTGGTGTCCCAGAATAATGAAGAATGAGAGAAACCCCACGTTGGGTGTGGACTTCTGAGGAAGGGGTCTCACTTCTACTGTCAGAGGCCCTGTTGAAGGAAGGCAGTATTGGCCCCCTGTGGATTTTATACTGACTGTTATGACCCTTATCCCCGTGATGCTGGTGAGAAGCTTCCAAATCTATTCTGAACTTTGTCTCCTGCTGGCGATGTGAGCAAACCAGGGAGCTGTGTGGAAGCATGCTCCTTCCCTTCTTTGTTTTCAGCAAATGCAGTTCCTGTAAAAGGAACATTTTAAGAATGGATTTGGGGGCCTGATTAGGGACTAGATGAGTTAATTTCTTCCTCCTGATACAGGGAAAGCTGGTTGGGTCAGATGGTCGTTTTAAAAGATATCTCTCTTTACTAATAATAGCCAGCAACTGCTGAGAGGATTTTAGTGGGGGAACACAAACCCAAATAATTGACATTTGTGGTGTAAAGATGGAAAAAAGCTGTAAAATCCCTGTACTTTGTGTTGAAGCCCAGATGCGCCTGCCTGGGCTTGCTCTCCAGGAGGAGAGAGAGGGCTGCTCTGGGGAAAGGCAGGTTTTACATTTTCAGCTTGCAGCACTCATTCTTTTTCACATCCTACAAGAAAGAGGCTGCTTGCAGATGCTCTGCATTGTCCATCAGAAAGAACTAGGTTTCTAATTACTTGCTATGTATAGTCTTGGAGGGAATGTGAAATATGTATCAAAGAGCCAAGGAATACACCAATCATTGTTCTCTCTCTAACTCAGATGCAGCATGGGACAGTGCTTCAGTTAGGCTGCATGGATTTCTCAGCCTAGGAAGAGGGTTCTGGGCATTAATGTTTCTACCGTCCCTGTCAGTTGTTACCGGTTTTCTTCCTTTCCTTTCCCTTTGGTTGGTTGTTGCATGCAGTTTTGGGAAGGGCTGAGGTGCAAAGGCTGAACGTTTTATTTAGGAAATATGTCAATAAAAGACTTTAGGATTGGCTTGATGAATGGTGGAGTGCAGAAATGATGTTCTGCAGGAAATTGTGTTGGATTCTGTAGGTTGATGGGACTGGGAGGGGTTAGTTCTGAGAAGAAATGTGGGCCAAACTACTGTTTGTTTTCCAAAGGGGAGACAGTACTGCTAATTTACATGCAGTAGTACAAGATTCCAGGATTTTGTTGTGCTTCCCAGGTCTTTTAAGAAAATTTCCCCATTAAGCTGTCACCCTTATCTATGTCTACAAGTGCTGTATTACTGATGGGTTCTTGCCCTTTGGAGTGACTCTCCAAGATTGCTCGAGGAATCTTTGAGAAGGCAGGTGTGATTACATGAGAGCCCTTGCCTGTCTTGCTCATTACTGTGTCTCCAGTGCCTAGCAGTGTGCCTGGCACCTAGTAGGTACTCAGTAAATATTTACTGAATGAATGAGTGGAGGAGGGCAGGAAAGAGGCAAGAGAATGATGGAATGCCGTCTGTGTGTCTAGCACTGGGTACGGCATGTTTCAAGTGCTTTGGTCATTGTCAACAACAACCTCCATGTTGCCCAATCCAAGTTTTACTTCTCTGTCTCCATCTTTCTCAGCCTCTCAGCAGCAGTATTCTCCTCTTTCCTCAGACCCTTGACATCACTCTTTCCTGGTTTTCCTCTTACCTCATTGACTGCCTTTGTTCGTCTGCTCTGCTTGTAAGTGTTGGCAGCACTTGGTCTTACGTCTACTCTATTTCTACATTTTCTTCCTGGATGATCTCATCTAGTAACAACTTCACATACCAGCTTTATTCATTGATTCTCCAATTTTTATCTGCAGCCCTAGGCTCCTGAGCTCCAAACTTGGACATCTCGTTGTGTACCTGACAGCTCCTTTTTCATATATAATAAGCATCTCAACCATAAAGTGGCCAGAAAAGGACTCTTGATTCCTTCCCCCAAACCTGTTTCTCCCACAGTCTTCCTTGAGCTTCTGAGATAGTTTCCTAGTTTCTTTTGTCCCCTGGCTATCCGTTTTTCACATAGCAGCCAGGGTGATCCTTTAAAAAGGCAAAGCAGCTCAAGTCACTTTCCATCTTAACACTCTTCAGGGGCTCCCATAACGCCTAAAATTACGACTGCTTACCATGGCCCACATGACCCTGATTCCCTCCGGTATTGTCAACTACTGTTGACCTTCTGCCTCTCTGTCCAGCCTCAGTGACCTTGTTTCTGTTCCTTTCAAGTGCCTGGTTCCTTCCTATCATTTTTGTCTCTGTTCAAATGTCACCTCCTCAGAAGCCTCATCTGAACCACCTTATGCCAAGTAGCCCCCTGCCTCATTTTATTTTCTACAAAACACTTAATGCTATCTAAGATTACCTTGTTTATCTGTTTATTTTTAGTTTCTTAGAAATTTTGTCTGTCTTATTCGTGGATATATTCCCCTCCCTCTGAAGAGTGCCAGGAACATAGCAGGCACTAAATAAATATTTGCTGAATCAGTGAATATGCTGTATCATTTAATCTTTCTGGGAACCTGAGGCTGAGAGAGGCTGGTAACTGACTTGATTTCTCAAGTCTTCAAGGCATTTTCTTTTCTTCTGTAATCTTGATGCTGATCCATATCCTATTTGCATTTAGTTTTATATTTTTTAGTTTGAGTATAGGGAAGGAAAAAGATATGTATCAGGATGAACTATTGCATACAAGGCCCCTAGCCCTGAAAGAAGATATTCTGCAAATGTCCAAAGGTAATTAGTTTCTCAATGGTGTTGTCTGCCAGTAAAGGTCAAGGCAAAAAAGAGAGAAGGAAAGAAAAAAGGAAGGAAACTTACCTATATTAAACATGTAATAGGTGGCAGGCACAAAACTCAGTGCTTTCACATATGTTACCTAACTTGAATCTCAAAGCAATCCTGCAAGGTTGATATTATTACCCCCAATTTTATAGATGGGAAAACTGAGCCAAAAAAGTTAAATACTTTGCTCCAGGTGATAACAAATACTAAGTGGTAGAACTAGATTTTTTAAACCCAGGTCTACCTGACACCCAATTTCTGACTTTTTATGCTAAGATGGTTGCTTTGTGAGATGGCTATGCTCCTAAAATAGAAAGGAGGAAAATGTGAATTCAGTGCATATTCACATAGATTGTAAGAAATATCTGAAGCACAAAAATAAGTTATACAGACAATATGGAAAGCAGACCTACACTATTCAATGCCTGAGCTTATAATTGCATGGATAGTATACAGAGTGAACATTTGGTTCTCTGGCAGAGCTCGTGTACGGTCTGACATAGAGCAGCTGTCCCCAGAGAAAGTTCTTTGTTTCTAGACCGGTACGGCACAAGCAGCATTTGAGCAATTCGGGATTTCTCTCTGCTTTCACTATAAATAGAGTTCATAGAATTCTGTATGTCAAAGTTAATGCAATGAAAAGGAGTCACAGAATATGGAAATAAAGCTTAACTCAGTCTATAAACTAGAAGCATGTTTGGCATCAGGAAGCTGTAAAAACGCTGTCATTACTTGGATGGATTCTGAGGTCTTATTTAGCATATGAAATTGCAGAGTAGATCCTATTATGTAAGGACGCAGGAGGACAGCATAATGTGGCTACAAAATGAAGAACTTTGTGCCCTTCAGGGAAGTGTTAACAGGACAGATATATACAGAGAGAGACGTGTGGTAAGAATGTGAAAAATGAATGAATGGGTGGCATATATATGTGACTGTTGCCGAAGCCGGGTTGCTGGATAATCCTCAGATGTCAGATTTCCGTGAGGCCAACATGTGACTCAAAGCTTGCCACTCAACAGAGAATACTGGGCTGTGCTGGTATTAAGAGGCTGGCTGGAAGCTAGGCTCCCACTGTGCACTAGCCTCACTCCCTGTCGCTCTCTGTGTGTGGGTGGGTGTGCATGTGTGTGTGTGTGAGGGTATACATTTTTATGCAGTGGGTGTTTAAAGAGCTAAGCACTGAAGCTGGATTTCCACAAACGATCATCACGAGCACTCCAGACACACCAAACTTCCTCTCTTGGTATTTTTTTTCTTTCATCTTTTTTTTTTTCTTCTTTTTGCAAATCCCAGAGGGGAGAACCCTCAATATCCAGCCTACAGGACTGAGATGATTTTCTCTCACCTGTCCATGTGGGTGCCCTCTCAAGGTTAGAACTGAAGCTATGAGGGACCGGCATATTCTCAAGCACCAGATGAGAGGAGCTGCGTGAAGGAGTAGCAGACACCAGAGGAAGAGTGACTCTGCCCTGTTAACATGAACAGCAGCCTGCAGGTTAACCTGCCCAGAAGCTGGGCTGCTTCAGGTGGCTCCCTCCAGGAGAAGTCTGAGCATTCTTTTTTTCTTTTTTATTACTATAGGATGGAGGATGAAGCTGTCCTGGACAGAGGGGCTTCCTTCCTTAAGCATGTGTGTGATGAAGAAGAAGTAGAAGGTGAGCTGTGTGGGTCTGGGGAAGTGTATATTCATAGACATATGTCTTTGTAGAGAATAACACTCATGCATTTCATATGTCTTATATTTTTGAAGTTAAAAACCAAAGCTTTTCTGTGGAGTTTCATTAATCTCCACATTTTGCTTCAACACAGAAAGTAATTTCAAGAACTTCTCTGGACCATCAGACTCTGAACCAGTGTGGTCCTGCATGGTTAAAAAAGAGAAAGGGTCTTACTTTGAAGCAGGTGCCTGTGTTAGCTGTGCCTCTCTGTTAAAAATAAATATTTTGCCAGATAATGTTAACCACCTTCCAATGACTAATTCAAGGAAGCTGCTAGATTTATATAAATGCATTTGGCAGTATCTTCTAATATTCTTTCTTATAGCTTGCAGGGTAGAGAAACAGATGTTACAGAAGGAGAATGATACCATTGCTGCAGGAAAAATGGGTCTAGGCTGAGGATATAAAGAGTGATAATTATGGATGAGTCTCAGTTTGGAAAAGATGAACAAGCATTTTTTACTTAAAAAATCTCCAGGACCTCTTTTGCAAATGTTTCCCAGTGCCCGTTAAAAACCAATTAAGAGTTGCATTTTAGCTGGTCCTGTGATGCTTTCAGTGTGCCTTCTCCTTTTGTCTCTTGACTTATCAATAATGTGGAATAATACTATTTATTTGGTAGTGAGAAGGCAGGGCTTAATATTCATTAAAGTAATTATGTGAAGGTATCACAGATATACAAGATATTATTAATAGTTATAAAGAGAGTCTAAAAAATAAGCAGGGTTATAGACAGTACTCGTAAAGTTAAATAAAACTTGCTGGAGGACCATGTCATAAATTCTACCCTTTAAAAATCACATGAGAAACATTCATATGCGTTTTGGAAACTCTAGTCTGATTGATGCCATTTGGTAAATATTTAATGCCTACCAAAAACTTGGACCAGAGGGGTGATGGGGTTGGGAAAAAGAGGGTGGATATTGTGGAGTGATTCTTTAACCAGACCCAATACCAGGTTGCAGGCAAGTGATGCTCCTGTGCCACCTGGAATGTTTGAATAGTGTGGCTATTATGTTGTTTCTCATGTTTCCTTAATAAGTTTCTTCTGACCATGTAGTGTTGGAGGATTGGTTCCCTCCCTCCACCTCCCAATTTCCTGCATTTATGCTCTTGAGACTGACTAATAAGAATTTGATGCCCAAGTTTCTTAGGAAAGAGGAAACTACAATATTTTCTTTCATATTGTTTTACAGGTTCCTTGCACTTTTACAACATGACTGTGGGAAAATGTCAAGTTAGTGAAAGCAAAATAGTAAAACTTTTGTCATAAGATTCTTGTAACCCATGATGTTAAGTCTCCCTTGTGGTGACTCTGTCACTGTCCCAGTGTCAAAGAGGAGATAAGAATCCTAAAGTTATAGCAAATATGGATGTAAGACATATTATAGGATTGAGTGAATATCCTATAGTTTCAGGACAACTGAAGTAGAAAAATCAGTGAGAAAGCTTGGGAATGAGATGTACTGTGTGTGTGTGTGTGTGTGTGTGTGTGTATGTTTGTGTTTGTGTGTTTTCCTTGAGAATAATGTTCTAGCTAAGTTCACAGGAGATGTAAATCACTTGAGTTTGTAAGGTCTGTACGATTGACAGCCCCCTACTGCAATAGGATATTGTACATGGGTTTCTTAAAGCTTTGACTAAGAAGTTTATTTCCTGAAGTATTTCCCTTGATTTTCACGCGCAAAATTAAGACAACAATGCAATGAATAGCACATAAATCTGTAGCCAGGTTTCTTTAAGGAGGAACAAAAAAGACAACAAGAGGTGGTAGAGACATCGATAAAATATTTTGCCTTTCTGATGATTAAATGTGCCACCTGAATTTTGTGTATTTTCCTATTCTGATAAGACTTCTATTTTAATGATTATCTTTCATGTTGGTTGGAAACAACTGATTCCATTTCTTTCAAGGCATGTTTAGCTAGTTGCCTGTTGTTGAATCTTGAGCCCCTAGAGGATGGTTGCTTATGGTGTCATTGTTTGGTGGTGAATGTCCAACAGTGCAGGTTCCTCTACAGTACGTCTTGAAACTACAATTAGGAACTATTCATTTCTAATTCAGTGCCTTCCCAATCGACCCTCTCATTTTCTCACCTGACTTCATCTGGAGGGGATGGGAGCACTTAAATTTTATAGTAACTCTAGGTGAAAGTGTAAAGAAGTTGAAATGGACATAGGTTTGATGGCTTATCCATGGTCCCAGTGGTTGAGAATGAAGAAAGAGATGACTTGACTGTCAAGACCTCTAATAAGGATTTTGAATGGCAATGTTTTCCTCAAGGACATATGTCTATCTCAAATTTTCAATTGCATAGAGAAGGGTGTATGTGAAGGAAAGCAAAACTGCTATCTCTATTCTGAAGCAGCTGAGTTTCTGGTACTTTGATGGTAGGAGTAGGTACTTCAGTTTTAATGATCAGAAATTCGAAGGGCAATGAGCTGGAACACCTTACCTTTCTGTTATCAAACGTGTTTCCTTTTATCCAAGTAGTTATTTCTCTTGCTTTCAGGATAAACATGATTGAAGTATATTGCAGCGCACTTGGCAAAAGTAAATTTAAAATAAAAGTGTGGTTTTTAGAAGTAATTTGCACAATAAGATGCACTCCTATTAAGCGCTTACTAGGGTGACAGAGGTCCAGTAGCTCTAGTTACTTTGAAATGTTCATGACTTTAAAATTATTCTTAGGGTCACCTAATTTGGGGTGATTGGATTCAGCTCAGCCTGAAGGCAAGAAGAGCCACATGCTCTCTCATAGTTCTTCCTAATGCTGTAGTTCTGAAAAGGAGAGAAAGACTGAAACTGCCAACCACGCCCTCAGTTCACCTGGTTCAACTTTACTCTTAGTGGGTGGCATGACACTTAATCCACGTTCTGAAAACTCAATAGAAAACCATCAACTGCAAAACTCACTAAGAATAGAGTGAGTCAGAAGAGGAGTCATCTTCTGTTTAAATAATGAATTTATCTATGTGGGATATATTTAAAGACCCAAACCTCATTTTCACATAATTTGTCTCATGCGCATTTGTGTTAATGGTTTAAAGAGATAACTGTTTAAAAAGGAAACCAAGTGCCAACTTGAATCTTTAGAATAAAGAGAAGCTTTGATATCTATCCTTTCATTGGTTACCTTATACTGTGTATGGTTTTGTAAAGTGAACATTTTTGGCACAGAGTGGTTACTGTGCATAAACTCATTTAAATTTTTAGCATCTCAGATATCATATTCGTTTCTGTACCAAAAGATTCCAGTTCCAGTCCATCCACTTCCACAGAATTGGTCTGTAAACGACAAATTGATGTTACCAGAATGACCCAGAAATGCTGGCCATGAGGACCAACACTAAGTTTTCATTTCAAACACACTTACGGGAAATTGCCAAATTTTGTTGGGTGAACCAACGTTGAGATAGGAAAAAAAGAGTCCCAGGTAGCTTTTTCCAAACAGAAGGAAATGCTATGGATGTTTTATCCTTTAAAAAGTCAGCCAGGATTTTGGATCTGTATGATATAAACAGATTACTTATTATTCTCATATTTCGCAATAGGGGAAAAGAGCAAACTCCACCTTATCCTTTGAGATAAGGCCTTGGCTCTGCAAGGCTAGGTAACTCCCCAGCAAGCCTTGGCAACTCGGACTTTAAGAGGAGGGGCTTTTTCTTAACATCAAGTCTAACCAGCAAGCCAGGAAGCATAAAGTACAGCAGGACAATATTGGCTGAAACTTGTCTCCGTTTCTGAGGTTTGATCAGTGCTCTCAAAGCTATTATGATATATTGTGGTGGTTTTCCTCTTCCATTCAAAACCAAATCCAAAAGGAAGTACGCTCCCATCTGTCCAAATGGAAGAATAATTCTACAAATTCCCGTGTCTACTGATGGACATTGAGAGAGAGTATTGTTGAAAGTGTGTGGAATTTACAGGAGGATTATTTTGGGGGAAATAAAAGTGAAAAAGTAGGACAGGATCTGGAGCAGAGTAGACATCCACTAAGTATTTGTTAAAAGAAAGAATTAATAAATGAATGTATAATATAAACTAAATAAAGCATATGTAGAATCACTTTATATAATCCTCTAAAATCTTTGTTTAAATTTTTAGTTAGAAATTTGGTTCTAGTACTCTTAGTCAAGTGAGATGATACAGTCTCTGATGATCCTATCCTTGCTATGACTCCTATTTGATTTTGCAAAGATCATTGACATGTTTATATTGTTTATGTATTTATAGTGATAAGAAAAAGAAGCCCCTAAAATACCTCTGCCTTCTCTTTCCTTCTCCTCTACTTTTGAAGAGAGATACTAGAATGATGAAATGGTGGCTTTTGTCTATTTGGAGGTCAGGATTTCAACATTTTTCAGACATGAAATCATAGTGACTTAAACCTATTTTTCACTAGAGGATATTATGATGATATATTTATGTGTATTGGAGGAGGTAGAATTCTAAAGAAAAAGTGGGGTCTGGTAGACATTTGTTAATAATTACAATGTTAAAAACATAATTGCCAAGAAGGAGTAAATGAAAACCTATTGGGTGGGAAGGTGGGGCCAAGTCGGGGCTGGGGCTATTCTGAGCGCTGGATGTAAGTGTCCGGTTGCATTTTGCTGACCTCTTCTCTGCTGTTCACTCTAATTGCTCAGAAACAGTGTGTACAGAGGAAATACTTGGGCAAATATTGCTGAAGGAAAAGCCTTCTTAAAAGAAACAATGTATCCACACACTGGAGAACTTTAAAGAAATGTGGGGAGGTGTTTAAGGGTTGATATTTGAATAGCAACTTGGGTTTCCCAGAGCAGGTTAGGCCGATACAGGCCTTTCCCAACTCCCTGCTTCTTTCTCCTCGTGGCCTCAGCTGAAAGCCAGCCAGAGGCCCTAGAGCAGGCAGCACTTAGCTTGGAACTGTCTAACACCTCCAGCTGTGTCAGTG